TTGACCCACTCACGACCCTCATTAAATTCTGCGGGAATAAGTTAGACGTATTTTGTTGGAAAAAGAAGCGTGTTTTAAAATCATACCATCCTCTAAACCCATTATATACATTGTGTCCAGCGAGTCTACGATGGTCAAACCCAAGCCAAACCAATCGTGCGAACCCTGTGATAATGGCTTCAAGTTGTCATGTCCCCAAGCATACTTTTTATAACCGCTCCATGAGTGCTTGAAAGCCGCAATAACAGCAGTTTGACGTTCATTTGTAGCGCCGTGGAAATGTTGCTTTTGCGGCAAGGTATAGGTGTCTAGACTGTTGACAAAATCATTAATTGCAATATTATTTGTGCCAGGCACAACTCGCGGATTTAACACAGCTGCTTCCAAAGCGACACGCTCAACATCTTCAGTGCTCGCCTTAGCATCAACGGAGGGACTTTCAATGTGATTATCGTTGATGTTGATTTCTTGTATACTTATTTTATTAGGAGCATCAACTAAAGGACCCTGTAAAGCGTTTGACTTCTGATTTTCTGGTAATACTGCTGCACTTTCGACACCATCGTCATTCTTCTGATCCAGATTGTTGGAATCAAGTGACTTTATCTGCAACATACATTTAAAAAATACATACAATAATATAGGTACCGAATAAATTTACTTCATTAGCCTAATAGGCTCCATAGACGGTTCGTCTGACTTGCGAGTCATCTGTGCACCTGTTGACTCGTCTTTCGACCACACACAGTTGAGTCATTCAGAGAATGCATATTTATTTTCACTAACACATACAAACCGACTCGGGAGTCAGACGCACCGTATATGCCGCCTATAAGCGCACGTTCACACAGAAAGCGGAGCCAAGTGTTCCGAGCTGAGTGAAGTTTTCAAATCGCCGTAGCTATGTGAAAGTGTTCATTCAGCAAGCTTTTTCAGAAGCAAGGCAGTTTTTGATTTTGAATTTTCTATTTAATTTTTCAGCTTCATGATGCTGTTGCAAACAAATTATCAAAATATTTAGACAAAAACGAATTTTACAAATAATCTTTTGGATAAAATTTTGCAAATATTTTTGCGCTTTTCATTGCGATGTTTTTTGTGGTATCTTTGCAGCCAAGTCCATTAGAGAAGCTCCGCTTCATTCAGTGTGAATACCAGCAGATTCACCTTTTCCACCTTGCTGCGCTCGGCGCCGTTCGGCTTTCAGTGTGAACGCATCCTAACATGGAAATTAATAAATTTACACGCAATGAATTATAAAAGTAGTTATTTCCTTTCCATTTTTAATTAAGAATAGTGGTGTTTATCTAACCTCTTATAATTACCTAGCGCTCAAATTTGCACGCAGCACAGTAGTACAGCCCTACACTTTTAGGAAAAAATTAGAAGGAATCGGCGTAGAACCTCACTTTTTTGCAAGCAACATTTCGGGACATAAACCGAAAAACTGGAGTGATCGATTTATTTTAAATCATACCTCCCACATAAACCTAACCCCAAAAATGTCATTAAAAAGAGCACCGATGAATTTATGAGTCCGAAATTTTGCCCATATCTTTGTATTAGTGGTAACAACATCGCAAAAAATATAGAAAAAAAGATTTTTTCTTAACAGCGGTCGCCCCTTGCAAACATCCAAGTTTATTTCTGCCATGAAAAACAGCTTCTCATAAAAATACAATCGCCGTTCGGAGTCGGCGTAAAACTGTAGGTCCTCCCCGTTGCGTGACAATATCAAGGTGCACGCTACAAATCGGAGAAGAAGCTCGGCCAAGCACTAACATATGTGTAATCTATTATTATTATTATTATGAACTCCAAAAATATGGATGTAATCGATTTATTTTAAAGCATACCTCCCATACAAACCTAACCTCAAAAATGCTTGAAAAAAATTGTTTTAATGATAGGCTATTATGTTTACATTATAACATAAAATTATTTAATTTCGAGTATTAAAAATATAAGTTTTTGTTATTAACTTTACAAACATAAGTATTATTACGTTATAAACTGAAATGGTGGGTGATTTACACTAATGTACCTTTTTTATTAAAAACTAGCAAATGCTGGCTTGCTTAGCGATACCTGATAAGAACTTTTGCGTTGACCAATAAAAAAAAAAAGTGTTGAAATGCAATAACGGCTTGTAATGTAAACATTATTGGCTTCTGTTGAAAGGACTGAAGAGCAGAATCTTCCTTACTCAGAGGCAAAGAATAACATATCGTATATGTATGTATTGCAAGGTTTAAATCCTGCTGTTCCACAGGAAGAAAGAGTTTTCCCGCTCAAACGGGGTGATTGCTGTTCGTATCGTGTTCTTTTTAATTCGTCACACTTCATCTTGATATACTGATGACCTCACAGACTGATGTGCATCTTTAGTGACACCGCTCACTTTAATATATAATAATCTATCTGCATTAGGTTAGATGTCACAGCGACTCGGTCAGTCTTTAATCAGAACTCAATAAGCTATAATTGGTGTGCCATGAATCATCTCTTCCTTAACATCCATAAATGCCACAAAGCCACGTTCTCTAAACTGCCTAAACCTCTGTCCACTTCTTACCATTTAGCTAATTCCGTTCTCAAATCAAAATTTTTCTGAACCGATTCCACCTTACGAGTCGCGTTGCCAATTGATTAGTTTATTAAAATTAAACAATAGATGCTCACTACTGTCCGTGTCATTTCTTCTTGACATTGTCTTGGGTAAAGTCGACTGCTCATCCCTTCTTGGGTTGATAGATCTCACCGTGCCGAGTAGAAACCTTCGTCGCTTTGATACTTTTCGTATTGGGTTAAATAAAACAGTTTACAATGCAAATGCCCCCATTGTCAGGGCTTTGACTGCGTGCAACTGTTTCTCAAAATTTTTGGATCTTGACTTGTCGGAATCAAAATCAATTATCTATACAAAATTGAAAAACTATTTATTGTGCAAAAATTTAGAATAGCCTTTATTGTATTTACTCTTGGTTATTTTAACGCTTCAAATTGTACCAAAAATTTAACTGTATAGCTTGTAATTTTTCATAATGTCTGTACCATTTACAACTTTAGACATTAAATAAGTAAATAAATATATCTAGGACATCTGTGGCGCCTTAACAATTTTGCATTTCTTAGTATTCATACATAAAGGATGGGGCTTTACTAAGTCATCTAAAAAATAAATTTTTAGAGGGGTATCTAAATATCTTGATTTCAGCGCCATATGTGTTTTGGGTCGTTTTTTTGCAGAAGCACTTCTTATCAAAAAGTTAATACCCGTTAATCCAGGTCGTACGATAAAGACGGATTCTTTAATATCTTGACTGTCGCCATAATTTTTTGCAAAAGTATATTTTATGATGCAGAGTATCCGGCGTCGTTCGGCGTAAACAAATAAAAATATAAAACAGTACGATTTTCGTCAATGTTATTGTGGCTTGTTAACACTTTATTTTTTAATATTTTTATTGAGCTTTGTACCACGAATGTTTATTAGGAAAAATTGAAAAAGCAACAAAGTCTAAGCGGTAGAAGTTATAGCACTATTTCGGAGATCACCACATCTCCTCATCAGCCTTCTTTTTTCTAGACTTCAGCAGGGATCGAACCTGCGAATTCGATGTTCAAAGTCAGAAGCGTTAACCACTGAGCTATGTACATCCCGTAAACTCTTGTTGCTAATTCATTTTTCCTTATTCAACCAACTACTAGCGGCAAATCAGCTGCACTTGCAAACTCTCATTCCTGTTTAGTTTACAACAGGTTATTACATTCAGCTGTCTGTTTGCTAGGGTTCTCTATACGTCCTCCATCTATTGGGGGTGGCACGCCCCTGGTAAACAGCCACTCTCTTTCAGTTAACCACAAACGCCACGCCCTGTTGTAGAAACTCATTTGTATACATTTACCACATCTTTTGATCAAATTTCAAAGTCATGTGAGTTAGGGGTCCGAAGATATAGCAAATTTGAGATTTCACGGTTG